TACCGTGCCTTGCCAGCTGGCGTTCATGCATCTCCACAGATCTTGGTATTTAGTTTTCTGGATCAATTACACTGATGATATTCCTTTATGGCACTGTCTGAAGCCATCCATCATCATTTCTCTTAGTCTGCCTGTGCCTGTTCCACAAGTGATCTTTCCAGTCGTCACGATATTTCTTGTGCTCCTTGTCTCATCACATGACCAAAGAACAGCGTTTGTCTCCTTATCATTGTTGTATACAATGTTTCATTAGCCCTTTCCAGGCAATCATTGTTAGTTATTCTGGCAGCCCAAGCTATTCGCAACATTCTTCTCAAGAACAACGTCTCAGCTGCATCCAGACTCTTGCTAATTTGTTTGCTAACCTTCCAAAATTGACTGCTCTACAACAGAACAGGCTCGATATCACATTTCTGTACTTGTACGAGTATACAACAAAGATGAAGAAAATGAAAATGTCATAAACTTTGAATATCTAGGCTCTGTAATAAACAGCAGCGGTAACTGTTTAACAGAAGTGAAAAGGAGGATGGTCATAGCATGGCAAAGAAAAAACAGCACTAAAAGTCTGTGATTAACCACCAGCAAGGCAGTCATGGTCATAATTATAAGAGCTTACATCTTCACGGTCTCTCTGGCCTAGGCGCTGCGAACGCGATTCGTAATGCCGCGTTGCCAGGTTAGATCCCAGCTGCGGCCGATTTGGCAGCAGACCGTCTTGCATTGGTTTCGATAGTGGTACCGATATTCGCCAGCTGTGTAGAAATGGCAAACTACTCAAAGTAACTTTGCAAATAGCCATAAAATGTTGGGTTTGGATCTATAACGTCCTGTAAAGGATGCGCAACTATACATCTCTCGCAATCATTTAGGTAGAAAATATGGATTTTGTGAGGCTGAAATGCTATAGCAAGAATCTTGGATTCGCTTGAACCATATATATATATATATATATATATATATATATATATATATATATATATATATATATATATATATATATATATTCTGGGATTCTAACAAATCTTAATAAAAAGAAAACAAATAAAAACCATCTTGTCTTGGAAAACTAAAATTATTGGCCATATCAAGCACCACGGCTGATTTGAAACAATGTTAGCACAACGCAGGGTACGAGGACAGACAGGCAGGGACCGACCAGAACGAGGATGGCAAAAGGAAATAAGTAACACTTGGTAAGAAACTGCACAAGGCGGGAGAGTTGGTGAGAGACTAAGTTTCTTTCAGGCAGACCGAGACGAAAGCGTCGCTGTGCAAAGGACATGGTATATGACGGCTGGATGCTCTGTTGCGTAGCGGCTAGAGGCTCGTCTGCGGATCCGAATGTCGTGGGTTCAGATCTTGACGGCGACGGACCACTTCTTAAAAACGATTTTGGCTCCCAGCTCTATCATGCCTTAAATGGGAACCAGGTTAAGTTATGTGCAGTAAAGACAGCCGCGTAATATATAAGTATCCCTCACGAATACCAACTGTTTATAAAGTATGTACGTCATGTTCTAGATGCCCAATACGTATGAAAGCGTGGAAGAAGATCATTTGTAATATATATATATAATTGCCCGGCTTTGCCCGGAATAGTGAAAGCTAATTTCATTCTCCCGTCCTCTACCTTACCTTTGTCTCATGTGGTTTTGAAGGAGATAACAGAAATCTTTTTTTTTTTAATTGCATTTTCAGGTTATGTAAGAAGAGTAACAAATACAAGGGGCTATAACTCTAGTAAAGACTAACTTTTTACTGATTGTTGCAATAAATAAAAGAATGGCAAAATAACCTAGCCATCAATGTGACTGTTAAATTAAACTTTGTAGCTTTAATGGCAGTTGAGAATTTAACTCAGGTATTGTTGAGGGCTCTGGATAAGTTAACATTTCCTATAAAATAAACACATGAAATACATAATTAATACACATGAATACACGTGTGTGTACTTGTATATATATGCGTGTGTGTGTATGCGTGTGTGTGTGTGTATACTCACGAGTATGTGTAAGTGTGTATGTGTGTGTGTGAAATTATGTTACTGGTATAAAATACACGCTGATTAAATGTGAGGCACAAGTTGTCAAACATTAAATAAACCACATGACAATAATTACCGTAATTGTAGGTAAGTAAAGTAAAGTAAAGATCCCTTTCACGCCTTTAGGCGTATCGGGCATATGGGGAGAGCGCCCATATTTTTACAGACCATCAGCACTCGGTGGGTAATGTGGTCAGCATTACGCCGGCTGTCTTTACTTTCCCAGGACAGCCCATCCTGGTACCCATTTGAGGCTGGGTCGATCTGCGACGTCCCATACCACGATAAAAATCCACGCAGCCCACGCAGGTTTAGATCGCGGTACGTTGGATTACGAGACTTTAGTGAAAATGCTCAGTTTTTTCCCAATAATGAAATTAGAATAGTTTGATAGGTCTTACAACAATGCAATCCAACGGTACCTTTTCCAGGTCTGTGTATCAATGTAAGCCGAGATATTTATGTTTGGGCTTTATGTATTGGAACACAGAAGAAATACTTTATTCAGACTCTTATAAAATGAATCCTGAAACTGAAATGTTTAGTTTGTGATAAAACTCTTGTTTATTTCCTACATTCGCGTGTTCGGTTCGTGCCAACAAGACCAAATATAGTAAAGGTTTTTTTTTTTTTTAGGACGCAAACAACTCTAATAAAATACAATAATCTTCAAGGTGTCTTGTCATTTATATAGTTGGAAGCAAAAAATTTAACACTAGTTTGAAAAAAAAATAATAATTGGAACCATGATAATTATTGTGGCGGTGGGTATATGGAACCCTATTTGACAACTTGCTGCTTAAACATTAAATTATAAGGCCTTACTGAGTTGAGCTGATTCCAGAACCGTCATCGCAGCACTCGGGCATTTCCATAAGCGCCCCGTCCCTATCTTCAGCAGCTAGAACAAAGTTCCAATACCAATGGTGCCAGTAGAAGTCTGATGATACGTCGATGTGCCTTTCCCCTGAGTGTCAAGTATCGGCCAGATATCCTCCTAACTGTTCGCTACATCACTCTCACCAGACTGTGATGATCTATTTGCTCCTCCCAGTTCCACGAGTACTCCCATAAGACCATAACCACGTCTGCCCTATCATGCAAGAATATTCCGCTATTGTACAGAGCCAGCTGATCCGTCCTCTGTTAATTTCCCAACACACCGACATATTCCAGAGAAAAGATTCGGACCATGCTCTTTACCCGTGACTTCCGAAGTGTAGCATGCCACTCTGCGTGAAGGCTGCCTGTCCTCGCCAGGCTCAAACCTTATCAATAAAACAAAATGTTAGGTAAATATTTATGAAGTCGTTAATCCATGCTGTTGTAATAAAAAATAATCGTTCAAAGCATATGAATGATGTAGTTGTCATGTGCATAATAGTCACATTGCCACGGTGTTATTAAATAGCAACACCTAATTAGTCATTGAAAATGCTCTTTGGTTCAGTGTTTTGCTTCACTTCAAATCAGGTAAGACGCTGCTGATTCTTCTCAAACCCACATAGAGTGTCCTGCTTGAATGTTGAATGTTGAATTAGGAGTCGATATCACAGCACTTAGGACGCCTCTATAAGCGCTCCGTCCCCATCTTCAGCAGCAAGCGAAGAGTTAAATTTTATATGGTACCAGTAATCTGTCCCGCCTTTCCCCTGAGTGTCGATCGTCGGCCAGATCCCCTTGTAGCTCCTCTCAATGCCATTCTCCTCATACCGTAATGATCTATCTGTTCCTCGGTACTGTTCACTCTCTCCCAACGGGCCTGGCTTTTTTGCACTAGGCGACGTCTATTCGCCTTCTTTATGAACCTCCATGCAGTGTGTCCTGCTTGATATTACCTAGTACCATTTGCCTGAAGTGTAATTTAAAAGTGAAATATTTTGTATACAATAGTTGGTTAACTATACAGTGGTACCTTGGGTTAGGGACACCTATAACCACGAATAAATGGGCCCAAAAACACAATTCTCAACTAATTGTGACTGGATCCCCGACCAAAGCTTCGGTCCACAAATGCACACAAAAAAGGCTGGTGCTATGTTTCCGTCAACGAGCAGTAAGCGTTGTTTGTCGCCGTGTTGTTCCTGCTTGCTGGCTTTCCGTTAAATGAACCCTCATTATGGCTCACAAGAAAGGTCAACGTTATAGTGATAGTGGTGTCCAGAAACCTAAGCGTATTACGGTAGAAGCGCAGGAGGAAATAATAACCCAATGTGAGAATGGTTTTCTTGTTTCTAATCTCTCCAAGCAGTACAACATGGCTACATCTACAATCAGTGTGACCTTCAAGAACAAAGCTGCTCAAAGGACGGTTGATGTGGCTAATGCGCTGACTATGTTAAAGAAGCAAAGCTCTCAAGTGTTGGGAGAAGTAGAGAAATTATTGTTAGCCACCGAACAGCAATCGAACCACTTCCTAGGATATAACTAGAGAGAAAATATCAGAACAAAATCTAAACAGTTTTCATATATTATTATGAAACGGGACTCTTCTTGGAACGTGTAGCCTCCCTCCTCCTTCTCCTCTACCATCTGCCTGTTCCAGCAACTATCAACCACAAAGGTCAAGTTAGACCGTATATTTAATACTATATATTTTTATCAGACATAAATCAATTTACATAAGTTAAAAAAAAAAAAGGTTTATGAAGCGAGCAAACGGATTCATTGGACTTGCATTGATTTTAATGTTGACATTTGTTTCGGCTCGCGAACATTTCGGCTCACAAATAGTGACAAATAATAAATCAAGTTCGTGACCCGAGGTTCCGCTGTGTATACTTTTTAACAAGAAGATCATTAAAAAAAAACAAGTCAGCGTCAAAGTCATGGTGACTACATTCTATGTAATTTTTTTTATATATATTATTATTCCTATACTTCAATAATGTTAACATTTGCAGTTTATCATGCTTTAGTGATGTAACCATTTGTAGTTTACCACACTTTAGTAATGTTGCTATTTGTAGTTTATCACACTTTGGTAATGTTGCTATTTGTAGTCTATCACACTTTAGTAATGTTGCTATTTTTAGTTTATCACACTTTAGTAATGTTGCTATTTGAAGTTTACCATACTTTGGTAATGTTGCTATTTGTAGTTTATCACACATTAGTAATGTTACTATTTGTAGTCTATCACACTTTAGTAATGTTGCTATTTGTAGTTTATCACACTTTAATAATATTGCTATTTATAGTTTATCACACTTTAGTAATGTTGCTATTTGTAGTTTATCACACTTTAGTAATGTTGCTATTTGTAGTTTGTCACGCTTTAATAGTGTTGCTATTTGTAGTTTATCACACTTTAGTTATGTTGTTGTTTGTAGTTTATCACACTTTAGTAATGTAGTTATCTGTAGTTTATCACACTTTAGTAATGTTGTTATTTGTAGTTTATCACACTTTAGTAATGTTGCGATTTGTAGTTTATCACACTTTAGTAATGTTGCTATTTGTAGTTTATCACACTTTAGTAATGTTGTTTTCTGTAGTTTATCACACTTTAGTAATGTTGCTATTTGTAGTTTATTACACTTTAGTAATGTTTCTATGTGTAGTTTATCACACTTTAGTAATGTTGCTATTTGTAGTTTATCACACTTTAGTCATGTTGCTATTTGTAGTTTATCACACTTTAGTAATGTTGCTATTTGTAGTTTATCACACTTTAGTTATGTTGCTATTTGTAGTTTATCACACTTTAGCTGTGTTGTTATTTGTAGTTTATCACACTTCAGTTATGTTGCTATTTGAAGTTTATCACACTTTAGTTATGTTGTTATTTGTAGTTTGTCACACTTCAGTAAGGTTGCCATTTACAGTTTATTCTTTTTTTTTTTTTATCTTTCGTCAAAGTGACATAATTGCTATACGATCTGTTTACTGCATAGCTTCGATATTTATACTTTTAGGTCGACACATCCGACTTCATTGGGCATTGGTTACCTAGTTACATTTATATTTTATCAATTATTTAGTAATGCTGCCATTTGTTCTTTTACTTTAGTAATGTTGCCTAGGTAGTTTCCTGTACTTTAGTAATGTTGTCTTGGTAGTTTTCTGTACTTTAGTAATGTTGTCTAGTTGGTTTTCTGTACTATGGTAATGCTGTTTAGTTAGCTTTCTGTACTTTAGTAATGTTGTCTAGGTAGTTTTCTGTAATTTAGTAATGTTGTCTGTGTAGTTTCCTGTACTTTCGTAATGTTTCCTATGTAGTTTATTGTGCTTTAGTAATGTTGTCTAGGTAGTTTCCTACACTTTCGTAATGTTGCCTATATAGTTTCCTGTACTTTAGTAATGTTGTCTAGATAGTTTCGTGTACTTTAGGTATGTTATCTAAGTAGTTTCCTGAACTTTAGGTATGTTTTCTAGGTAGTTTCCTGTACTTTAGGTATGTTGTCTAGATAGTTTCCTGTACTTTAGGTATGTTGTCTAGGTTGTTTCCTATACTTTCGTAATGTTGCCTTTGTAGTTTGCTGAACTTTCGTAATGTTGCCTAATGACAACAAACTCAAACAACAGCTGGATTATTCAAGCAGCCTTAGGCAACACTCTTTTGTCTGTAACAAATCTTGTTACAGACCGACTAGCGATACTTTTCATCTTCAAAGATAATATTTTCACACACACACACACACACACACACACACACACACACACACACACACACACACACATATATATATATATATATATATATATATATATATATATATATATATATATATATATATATATATATATATGCGCTAACGCTCAGCTCAGAATGTCAATGTTATCCCGTTGCTAATTGAAAAGAAAGAAAAATAAGCAAGTACACCGCAACATCACAGTGAGGGGAGACCGGTTTACTTACTCGCTGCCTTTGCAAGTTAGTTTTCCAAATACTCGAAATATTTTATAATTGATATAATCGTTGTTGATTTCCGTGACGGTGTTGAAAAAGGCCTTTCTTGTGCTTTCATGAAGTTTTGCGAGAGTGGACGAGAATGGGGCCACGTCGATTAATATTCCTTAAGACGGTATTGGATGCACACAAGGCACCCCCCCCCCCGAAAAAAGATGACTATACTAACCACAACGTATTATTTAAAAGGTACCCCAGAAATATCTACATTTATTGCTCCACACATAATGGTCATTACTCTTCCCCAGAAATATCTACACTTATTGCTCCACACATAATGGTCATTACTCTTCCCCAGAAATATCTACACTTATTGCTCCACACATAATGGTCCTTACTCTTCCCCAGAAATATCTACACTTATTGCTCCACACATAATGGTCATTACTCTTCCCCTGAAATATCTACACTGATTGCTTAACACATAATAGGAATTACTCTTCCCCAGAAATATCTACACTTATTGCTCCACACATAATAGTCATTACTCTTCCCCAGAAATATCTACACTTATTGCTCCACACGTAATGGTCATTACTTTTCCCCAGAAATATCTACACTTATTGCTCCACACGTAATGGTCATTACTCTTTCCCGGAAATATCTACACTTATTGCTCCACACGTAATGGTCATTACTCTTCCCCTGAAATATCTACACTGATTGCTTAACACAAAATGGTCGCTACTTTTTCCCAGAAATATCAACATTTACTGCTCCGCACATGGTGGTTGCTACTCTTCCCAAGAAATATCTACATTTATTGCCCCACACACGATGTTCGCTAATCTCCCCCAGAAATATCTATAATTATTGCCACACAACCACCACTCGTTTTAATAGTAACGTGAACAGGCAGGAAAATTAACCGTTTCTAAACTTCTATTTAAATAATCCTGAGTGGATCCCTGATTGTTTATCCAACTTTAACTAGTTAGAAACGCATTGGAACCTGGTTTTACACAACAAAGTTAATTTGACACCATAAGGCTGATATTTAAAATAAAGTTAATGCATACAACTAATCCCGCTGTAAATGCTACAGAAATCACGAAACGCGTAATAAGGAAAATAAAAAGTTACATATTAATTACATCAACTTTTCAAGCATAAAACAAAGTTCTACTTTTTAATTGGCTTGTTACATCCAGGTTTTAAAAGAAAAATTCAGTTTCCTTTTGCCGCACGCATAAGATCCATACAAGGTTTGCTCCCTTCTTTAATGAAAGAGCAATGGCTGACTTGGAAGACTTTCTGTCGTGGATGAGCGCCATGCGAGTGCGCGCGCGCGCGCGCGCGACAGCCAGTGTGACTCAACCACTCCCACAAGGACTGCAGGAGAAACGATTCTGACCGTCTACTTTGACAACGGGTGTACAAGATCAGTTGGGGGGAAAGCAGACGGGCTCTCATTGCTGAGGTTTGTGACCGTTCTAAATTGTCGCCAACATCTGCAACAAATTCTAGTAATGTGGATAGAATGTTTCACAACCCATCCCCAGTATTGTTATAATGTTTATACAAATTTCCACAGACCACATCCAACCTTGGTTTTAGTGTTCATAGAACATTTCATCAAACACATCCAACCTTAGTTTTAGTGTTCATAGAATATTTCATCAAACACATCCAACCTTAGGTTTTAGTTTTCATAGAATATTTCATCAAACACATCCAACCTTAGTTTTAGTGTTCATAGAATATTTCATCAAACACATCCAACCTTAGTTTTAGTGTTCATAGAATATTTCATCAAACACATCCAACCTTGGTTTTAGTGTTCATAGAATATTTCATCAAACACATCCAACCTTAGTTTTAGTTTTCATAGAATATTTCATTAAACACATCCAACCTTAGTTTTAGTTTTCATAGAACATTTCATTAAACACATCCAACCTTAGTTTTAGTTTTCATAGAATATTTCATTAAACACATCCAACCTTAGTTTTAGTGTTCATAGAATATTTCATTAAACACATTCAACCTTAGTTTTAGTTTTCATAGAACATTTCATTAAACACATTCAACCTTGGTTTTAGTGTTCATAGAATATTTCATTAAACACATCCAACCTTAGTTTTAGTTTTCATAGAATATTTCATTAAACACATCCAACCTTAGTTTTAGTGTTCATAGAATATTTCATTAAACACATTCAACCTTAGTTTTAGTGTTCGTAGAATATTTCATTAAACACATTCAACCTTAGTTTTAGTGTTCGTAGAATATTTCATTAAACACATTCAACCTTAGTTTTAGTGTTCGTAGAATATTTCAATTTCTTTAAACGCTTTACAAAATGTCTCCAAGATTGTTTCAGTGTTGCTAGAATGTTATCGAGAACATTTCAAACGTTGGATTTTGTTTTCAGCAAATGTTTTACACAGTGTCTCCAAAATTACATTTAGTGGTCCTGGGATGTTTCACATCCAGCCACATCTGTTTTAGCTTAGCCAACGTGTTTCTCAGAAAACATACAACATGTGTCTTCGAGCTACAGAATCTTTAACAGAACAATAAGTTTGTTTTAGTTATTACACAACTCTAACAGTAAACACCAAGCCTTTGTTTTATTACCTTTGGACTGTTTTCGAGAGCAGATCCAGCATTTACTCGAGTGTTGCTATAATATTTCCCAGAATACACCAAACATATGTTTTAAATAAAAGGTTTTACAGAACACATAAATATTTTTTTTCAAGAACATGTACATGACACTTTCTCCACACATTAGATGGTTTGAGTATATGGTGCTAATCAAAGGCACTGGACTCTGGAGGTTCATGACCGTCAGGCAACTCACCCCTCCCCCTAGCCCCTTTTTTTTCTACCAAAAACAATTATTATCTGAGTTGAGGCCTCCGGTTCTAGTGTTTCTTTGTGTCGGCGCCGCTCCTAATGCTGATTCTACTTTTCAGAACCCAGTCGACACTGGCCAGGTAGTTAGGTCAGTACCACTCCAGTCGTTTCTTCTTTCCAGAATATTTACTGGCGCCAATATTAGGCGGGATTACTGTTTAAACAAATGATGACACTTTTGTGAAAATCCTCAAATATTATTTATGAATGGCTTCACTACATGGTTCCAATAATCGTTTTAGTTCTGTTTGAATGTTTCTCCAAATGTCACCCAGTATATGTTTATGAGTTATTACAATATTTGACTAACGTTTGTCAACTTTGATTGGGTATTCTAGAATGCTCTGCAAGTATTGGGTGGCAGTGGCGCTAAGAATTTTATTATTATTTTTACTACTATTATTATTACAAAATATAGCAAACATGTTTGTTGTAATATTTCTGAAAATATTTCACTACATTCTAAGAGACCTACTGATACTACATTCTACGAATATTTGTGTTAGTTATCCTGCAATGGTTCACTAGTTGCTTCCAGCATCTTCTTCAAATGACCATTGAATCGATATTTTTGTATTTGT